CGCAGCCTCAGCCTGCAGGGCTCAGGTGATCCTTCTGCCTCAGTCTTCCAAGTAGCTGGAAGTACTGGCATGCGCCACCATGCCCAACTAATGTTTTGATTTTTTTTTTTTATTGTGAAGATGAGGCCTCACCAAGTTGCCTAGGCTGGTCTCAAACCCTTGGACTCAGGCAGTCCTCTCACCTCAGCCTCCCGAAGTGCTGGCATTATAGGTGTGAGCCACCAGACTTGGCCAAGCATGGAGACTTTAGAAGCTTGAATTAAGAGAGATCTGTCACCCGAGTCTCTTCCACCCACAAGGATGTCCTTTTCCAGTCCTCAGAGAGATCATTATTTTCTTCCTTGATTCCATTCTGCCTCTTTGGTGACTGAGTGCTCATTCTTACAAATGGCATACATTTATTATTTGTTTATTTGAATTGGCAGAAAATTCCCTCTTAGTAACTATCAGCTACTGCTAGTCTAATTTCTTCCTCAAGAATAACATCAGTCTGTCTCTCTTTTAGGTTGCGTATGTGCCGAGTTGTCTTTTCTGTGGGTTGCACGTGTCTGCTTCCTGCCGCTGTTCTCTTTTTCCTGTTGTAGTTTCTAGGCTGCCTATAAGTTAGGTGAAGTTTCCTACGGGTGAACTCTGTTTTATTGCTGTGTCGCTGTGTGTCTTAAAATGGGCACCCAGAATGAAATTCCCATCAGTCTCTTGTGAGAATTTTTCTTTTCTTTCTTTCTTTCTTTTTTTTTTTTTTGAGTTTGAGTCTCACTCTGTTGCCCTGGCTGGAGTGCAGTGTCACGCTCATGGCCACTGCAACCACGACCTGCTAGGCTCAGGTGATCTTTCTGCCTCAACCTTAATAAGTAGCTGGAACTACAGGAACGTGTCACCATGCCTGGCTACTTTTTAGATTTATTGTAGAGATGAGGTCTCCCCAAGTTGCCCAGGCTGGTCTTGAACCTGTGGGCTCAGGCAATCTTCTCACCTCGGCCTCCTGAAGTGCTGAGATTATAGACATGAGGTGCTGTGCCCTGCCAGGAATTTTTCTTTTTTTTTAAAAAGAGTTGTAATGATGGTTTTTGATGAAAAACAAGTCTATATCTTAAAGACAACAGTATCTTTATCGATAATACGGAGACAGAATAAGTGAAAACTAAAAATCATTCTGAAAACCAGAAATGAGTGTTTGTTGTACCTGGAGGAATTCCCATATCCTCTGGAGAGCACAGTGACAAGTAGGATCTGTGTATCCTGAGTCCTCTGGGAAACAGCCAAATTGTCAGCAACAGTTGGGGAGCAATAATAAGACAGGGCGCTTTCTGAAATGCCCCCTGCCTTTTGATGAGCAGAAGGCTCTGATTTTAGAGTCGTTCCATTTATTGGTTTCTTCCCGTGGATGTCCAGTTTTGTTTTGTTGTTTTCTTTTTTTGTTTTTTGAGTTGGAGTCTCACTCTGTCGCCCAGACTGGAGTGCAGCGGCCGTTCCCGGCCACCGCAGCCTTAACCGGCTGGGCTCCGGCCATCCTTCCGCCTCAGCCTTCCAGGTAGCCAGAATTACAGGCATGCACTAGCATGCCTGGCTGATTTTTTTTTTTTTTTTTTCTTTTTT